ATCGTAGTGATCTGGTGTTGGAGGGTGTTCACGGGACATTGTTAGCAACTGTTAGTTCTTAAGCATACTACATGCATGAGTATACAAAATCAACAAACAAGCACCACAAACACACACCAAAGGTAGGCACATGAGGGGGGTAGCATATATATATATATATATATATATTTCTTTTTAATTGTACTTATTTATTTTTTTACACCCATGCATATCGGCGTTGTTACTATCGTTCGTCTCACTCTTATGCAATTCTTTTGTGGCAAGCGTTGTTCTTGTTAGTATTACTCTTATTCTGTAATCATACTCGTATTAATTTACGACTATTGCTATTACTATTGCTATTACAATTGCTATTGCTATTGCTATTGCTATTGCTATTGCTACTGCTATTGGGCTATTTTGTTGCTGACTGCTAGCGGTCCCGTAACGGCTCGTGGTGCCTCGGCGGTCCGAATCTCAGGCGACCCTTTGGGTCGGGCACTGCAGCGTTGATGTGCACTGGCTGGTAGTTGTCGTCCTAAGAAGTCAGGTCTCGGGAGTTTAGGATCGCTTTTGAGAGTTTCGCTGTTGGAGTTGCGGCCTTACCAGCAATCTGAAACTCGCCGGGCCAAGTTGCAAAGTAGACAAAGCCACCCACAGTAAGGAAAGCCACATCAGGGTCCATGCTGGCCCCCGGCTTCGGAAGCTCCGATGTGGATGACTTCCAGCTGCGGACCAAAGAGAAGGGATAGCCTCACGCACGTCTCCCACTCAGGTCTCCAAGCCCCGACAAGGCTCCCATCTGCTGATCGACAAGGCTCCCTCCAAGTCGACTCGCCGAGCGGCTCCATGCAAAGTACTGCCCTGCTGCAGGGATCTTCAAGCGTCTTCGTTCCACCTCCGGAATGTTCAGTGCCGCAATCGCCGACCTCGCTTTCAAAGGAATCCATGAGGACTTCACAGGAGGGGAAAAGCACAAACAACGCTGGTCTTCTTTTCGGCGCGAGCTGCATGCAAGAAGTCGCAGCTTTGTGAGGCTTCAACGACTTGCAGAATTCGCTCATCTGCGAGGAATCCTTGGGAGCGACAGGGCATCCGAGAGCCGTGGACCTGCTGACTTCACGAAAGACCATGGCCATGGCATGGCCATGGGATGCGGCCGGGCATCTGGGCACTTGAGGCGGGAGAGGTCGCATTCGAAGCTTCTCGGCTGCTGGAACCAGCTGTCAAAGTGGCCTTTGAAGACGGTCAGGTGCCCGGGCTGCACGTACTTGGTCGGAACGCAGTGGAAGTTCGGAAGCGCCTGCACTGTGTCGCGAGAGACACTGGCGCAAGAAGCCTTACAGTCCATAAAATGCCCCCGGCCTTTGGAAAAGCTCCTACCGCTGAGGGCTCCCCAGACACCACCAGGGGGAAGTAGATGCAGCTCTCCAGCTTTCCCTTGTCGGCGTGCTTCTTGCAAAGGTCGTGGAACTGCTCGGGGCCCAGCTCTCCATCCATCAGCGTGGCGCTGCCAAGCAAGGAGATTGGGTCCAAGGTCGGGAAGATGCTGCGCAAGCCACGGCGGAAGAGCGGATCGTTGATGGCGACCACAAGCTCCGTCATGGAGATGGTGCCGTCATCGTTCATGTCGAGCATGTGAAAGAGATGCCGGATCTTGGACATCACATCCTGCTCCAGGAACTCCATCAGCAGCTTCTCCGACAAGAAGTGGACCGAGCCCTCCTCGATGGCCGTGGCCACCTTTCAGCACGAGCTCACCATGAGGCTGAAAGCCCCCTAAGAGCACGCACTAGCAGTCACTAGCAGCTGGCCTCGTCGTTGCTGGACACCGCATACTCGTAGCGAAAGCCCTGCACGTGACTCCTTGGTCTAGGACCGAAGGAGGGCGGAAGGGAGGGCACATGAGGGCACGTAATGCCGTAAGAGCCATGGCCGAAGCACTAGGACTAGGAGGTCATTTGGCTCCCAATTCCAACAGCACTTCCTAGAACGCCCGGCTTCACCGCATACCGAGGCACAGCAAGTACTGCGTCTCATCATCCGTGTTCTTCAGCTTGGCTTTCACGAAGAATTGCTTGCCTGGAGAGGGTGAAGCACGGACCCCCCAAACCTGAGCTGACGAGGAGACGCGCCTTCTTTTGTTGGCTTCGTGAAGCGACCCACCAGCGGATCACAGCCCGGTGTGATGCCAGGGCCGACGGAGTAGTCGAAGCTCTGGGCCTGTGCGCGCAGCAGCACGCAGACACGCAGACCCTTCAACCCTCCTGACGGAGAAGAAAAAAAGCACTGGTTGCGACAGCCAACAGCCAAGCCTTGTCCGTCTGCCCGTGCACGGACCAAGCGTGGCCACGGTACTCGATGCTGCAGGCCGCACTCCCCCGGTTGTCGCCCTGGAAGAAGCGGTTGGCTTTCACGTCACCTGAGCAGGAAAGCACATCCTCTACAAGGCCGGCTGATTCAAGGGGAGAGCCCTTCTGTGGCTGGGGGGGAACGCGTCGCGCGTCTGTTGCCCGGCGACTGAAGGAGGTGTCGCCCATGATCAAGGTCACCCCATTGTGCATGACAACCGTTGGAGCGTTGCCGTGCGGGGTGTGCCCCACCACCACAAACTTCACGCCGTACTGCTTCAAGTACTCCACCATGTTGTCCGGCAAGGGAAGGGGCATGCTCTGCTCCGTCAAATACCTCACAGATCAAAGTAGAGAGATGTAGACAGGAGTGAAGAGACGACGAGAGAGGGCAGTGCTTTTGGTGCCCTCGGCCCGGCCTGCAGTAGATGACGGTGGGATACCGGGTGCCCGGGGTGCCGTAGGCGATCAGCTCGGAGGCCCCGCGCTGGGACCAAGACCTGCACAAGAGGGCGCGCGACAACAACCGACGAGGACGTGACTCCCGGCTGCTTGGGCCGGGCGGCTCGAAGGTCGACACTTTCGGCGGCACTTCCCACTGCGGACGATGCTGCCAGTCCCTGAGAGCAGATCTTCGAGGCTACCCGATCCCGCATCGCATGAGGCGCTGCGTGGGGCGCTGCGCCTGATCTCGGAGGCTGCCCAGCTGTTGATCTTTGCGATCCACGTTCTGGGCAGATGCGTGCTCTTCCACTGCGCAGAGAAGGCACCAGAGCTTTCTGCTACCCAGGTGGCTCCAGACACTCCTCTCGCTGTTCCTGCCAGGGACGGCGGAGGGAATTTGGGCTGCCATGCCGGATGAAGCGAACCCGTGGCAGAAAGAAGTTAGGAGTTAGAATGACGCTTAAGCTCCACTTGGAGTATCTGAGCTAGGGCGGCTCGAGAGGACGTTGTGTGCCTAGAGTATTTTCTTCGAGGATGCCATGTTCCCCACTGGATGTACGGAGATGGGCTTGCCTGAGAAGCCCTGCTTCCATGCTGCACATCCAGGTTAGACGGTGACACATGCTACATGCTGGCAGCAACCTTCCGCAGACAGCTTGCAATCTGGGGGACGCCCGCGCCTCTCCAGGTACCACACCCAAGCTCCATGCTGTACTCTCATCATCTGCTCCTGTCAGGGAATCGCTTTCCTCTGTCCGGGGGCTGCCGGAGAACGGCCCTCGCCTATGACTTGATCCGGCGGGAACTGGTTGCCAATGATCTGAGGGAGATGCGAGCGAACTGATGACAGAGTTTTCTTACAGGCTGCGCTCTTTGTCGAGACCTGGCCATGAACGAAGAGCGTCCCGTCAATCAGGAGAGCGAGCTGCCCGAGGTTTAAGAACTTCCTGGGCGCGATCATCTCTTTTACATCTCCCGTGCTGAAGCCCGGAAGCCCGCACCAGCCTCATCACACCACCCGGAGCGACGCTGCGCTCGTAGCTCTCGACGACATCCTCCATGTTTAGGGTTTAGGGTTTAGGGTTTAGGGTTTAGGGTTTAGGGTTTAGGGTTTAGGGGCACACCACCGAACTCATGAGGCGAGAAATGCGAGGCGCAGACACTCGCAGGGCGAGTGGCTTCTCTTTTTAGCATTCTCCAGGCCTCGTCCGTGACTTCCTCCTTGCGCACGTTCAGCAAGTGGGCTAGTTCCTGCGGCTGAAGGGCAAAAGAGATCTAAGGAAGATCTGGTCGAAAGGCTGTGCCCCTGTCGATTAGAATTGGAAGACGATCTTTTTTTGCCACAGACAGGTGGGGGCATGGTCTACCACATGGGAGCATCCACGTGAAGCGCCATTGAACGCTCTTGCGGCTCCCGGGTTACATCCGCCAAAAAAAGCTTCTGCGCCGAAAACCATGCGGTTTCCCGTGTTTCTGTCCTTCTTTTCAACATGTATCTTGGAGTCTTTCGAAAGCGATTTGGATTTTGATTTAAAAAAACTCCAAAACAAGAAGAAAAAAAACAGGCAGGAGAATTCTGATCCACGGCATGACACAGCATTTGCTTGGTCGCTCACTACGAGTGGAAACATTCTTTGTGACGCGACATTTGAGGGTGGGTCGAGAACTCTGGGCCCAAGCCTCAAAGTCTCAGAGAGCACCCGCCGTTCCCCGCCTCTCGTCTGAACTCGAAGTCCCCGACTGATCCCATGTCGCAGTCCAGCATGTACCGTAGCCTCAAGCTGGAGTTGCCGAGCCCTTGTGGAAGCAGCGGCGTGCTGTGCTGCAGGCTTGTTGGCTTTGGTGTTCCGGTTCAGAATCATCCTCTCCGTCACTTCATCCTGAAGCAGAGACTGCTCAGCCCAGCTCTGCTCAGCTCTCACCGGGTCACCCTCAGAAGAGTCCGACCCAAGCCTCGTTCAAGCCCTCCTCCTGTGCGACCGTTCTCCTCAGATACTCCCAGTGTGTGGGACCTCAGGCGACTCAAGCGCTGACGAGCAACAGCCTCCGATCCAAACTGGGATCCAAGCAGTTGCCGGGGAGACGGGACTGCCAGAAGGCTCGAGGGACCTGCAAAGGGCCATTAGGCCAGGCTAGTGCCAGGCGCCAAATGAGCCAAAAGAGCCCACCTCTTTGATGCGCTTCAGCTCGGACGGGGTCAGCTCCGAAGTCCATCTCATCTTGTTCAGGTCCTCAGCTCACGGCCGCTCTTTTCAGAACACGGAACATGAGTCGCACGCCCTTCTCGCCAGGCTGCTCGATTGCCCAGGATCAGGAAAACTCTCGAGGGATATTTCCTCGGCAAGTCGCGATCTCAGAGGCCCTTGCGGAGCATCAGTGCGCCAGCCGTCGCCTCTTCAGCGTCACCATGGCCTCCAAGAAGCGCAGTGTCCCAGGGCCTTCCAAGAAGCTCGCACGGCGTTGCGGTTGGGGGGCAGGGGTCACTGGGTCACGGGCCTTTGTCGCAGGCATCGCCGCCGAAGACAAAGAGCCAGCCGTCAGCCAGTTCCAGCTCCTAGCGCAGCAGATGCAAGCAGAGCGGACTCTCCTCGTTATTCTTTTGTTTGACCTGCTGTCACTCGCTGTGAGCGTGCAAGACGCAGGCCGACGCAGGCTGTCCAGCTCTTGCGAGGTGCGAGCGTTGCGCCCGTCCTCAGCAACAGTGACTAGTGACGGCTGCCGAAGCCCATGCCTTCGTGAAGTCCGAGCTGCATTGCCCGGCAGTTTGAACTTAACCCCGTCACAGAGCTCCACAAAGTTGCAGAAGAAGTCCCAATGTCCCTCCACGTCACAAACCTCAGAGTCCGATGTAGCGCGGCACCCGGATGACGCCGTGATCTTCAACTTGGCTTCGGCACGTACGCTATCCGCTGAGCTTTCCGGATGGAGTTTCGAGTGGCCTCTTCGCAATGACGGCAAGTGTCGAAATCTGAAACTTGACTTGGCACATCTTGGCACAACTACGCCGCAGACGCCGCCACCTGGGAATTGGTGGCAATGCTGGCGGCACGCCCGCAAGCCGTCCCCATGGGCGATAAACTGACAACACATAGGCCAAAAGGACCTACTCGACTTATTCGATGGAAGACGCCGCTACTGGGTCATGGAGCACTTCTGCTAGTGGGTCAGGCCAGAGTGGGCTGGGGCTCAAGTGTTGGTCCTGCGACTGTCTCCTGGGTCGCGGACTTGCGGTTGTTCAAGCTTGGGGACTGGGAGGGGCAGAGAGGCTTTGCATTGTTTTGCATGTCGGCTATGTCTGTATGAACCCGGTCTGGCTGATCTGGATGATCTTGCTGAATGCCCCTAATCCAAAAATATCCTAAATGGCTGCAAGGAGTGTTTCGTGCTGAGACAGCGGAACAGATTGAACCTCTCCCATCTTCACAATGCAGCCGCCTCTGCCAGCTGCCCCCGGTGGCCTCCGAATGAGAAAGGGCCCTTCAAGCCACGGACGCGATTGCGATTGCGCGACGGGCACTCTTTTCCGCAGGCTCCACGAGAGCCGGCCCTCCTTCGCGGAAGGCCGAATTTCCGGCACTCTCGGAATCCTCGGCCAAGGCTGCAAGAGCTTGCGCTTCCGCTTCGCGGACTCGGGCTGCTCGCTCAGCCTCTTCCAGCTCGCTGCCTTGAACGAGGCGCCGCTTCAAAGATGCGGCACATGCGTGCGGCGCGTGCGGCTGCCCCAATCAGGCTCTCCTCTGATGCACTTTCTGAGGCCGGCTCTCAGGGAGGCACGATCGCTGAGGCCCCTGCAGCGCGACTTAAAGCGCAGCAAGGCGGGGCTGCACAACCCCCAAGGAAACCCCCCAAGGAAAGCCAGGCCAGTCGGACACGGTCCAAAGATCCAGACTTCCCAGCCTGGTGCCGCGCTGCGGCACTGCGGATTCGATGCGCTTCTTTGCTTCGTTGGCTTCTTTCGGGCTCCGGCTGACCAGTCTCAACCAATCGCTCCAGGGCATGGATGCTGTCCTCCCAAGACCGCGAACTTGAGCGCAGAGGCAGCAAGAGACCAAGATGACGCCTCCTCCAGAGGGTTGCCAGCCAGCCGTATGCAGCTCTTCTTCGAGACCAGGGCCTCAGACCGCGACCACGACCGCAAACGCGCAAACGCCGGGCTGCGGGAGGCCTCCGCGAGAGCCGTTGCACCCGTGATGGCGTTCTGCTCCAGCCCTGACGCGTGGACGTCCCCAGCTGAAAGTTCACTGCGATTGCACAGCACAGCGCACCCAGGTCCACGAGAGCCGTGTTCTGCTTCATCGCAGCAGCCAAGACAGCCTGAGCTCCCCATCGCGACGGCACTTCGTCGAGGCCCCCCTTCTGCTTGGAGCCAGTAAGACGCAGACTGCACCGCGGTCGCCGATGGAGTTCCAGCCTTGGATGTGCGGAGGCCCGGCTGAAGGCTCTGAGCCTCTCTGAGCCTCTGAGCTCCCACACCCAGGTCCAGCTTCTGCAGCGTGGCATTCCGAGGCAGCATCGCGGCCTCCACACGGGAAAAGCCGCTGCGGTGTCTCCGGTGCTCTTCTGGTGTGCTCTCGTCCCGCCGTCGCCGCAGCTCCCCGATCGCCGAAGGAATTGCAGAAGACGTCCAGGCCTTGGGAGCTCAGCCCACAAGCGGCTAATCGAGCGCAGTGATTCTTGTGCTTGCTCTGTTCTTCACTACTTACGGCGCCAGTTCTTCCAAAATGCATTTCAACACACACATCCAGACATGCCGACCCGATGCACCGCCGAGGATCTGAGCTGAGGCACCCGCATTGCAGGCTGCTGCGCTGAACGGCGGTTGCGAGTGCCTCAGATGGAACGGCTCTTTGTGGACACCGCGACCTTTCTGAAAGGAGCCCTGAGCCGAGTTGCGGCTGCGCCCTGCTCTCGGATGCCGTTCCAGCGAAGGCCTGAGCTGGAACGGCGGTGTGCGCAAAGTCCCCTCGAGGCGCCTTCTCTGAGCGGCTGGCTTAAGCTTCTCAGACAGGTGCAACCCTCGAAAGCTCGAAGGTCCAGGTCTCAACATCAGCTGAGCACGGGCAGACGAACCTTAAGAGCATCCGCCACCACCCTGGCACCTGGCATTGCGGCATCTCAGAGGAAGGAAGGAAACCTGCTGCCGGTAGCCAGCCGCAAGGAGCGGCCCCACCAGCATCTCGCAAGGAGCGGCCCGTCAAGTCCTTCCAGCGAGCTCGCAAAGATGTAGCGGTAATGCTTGGACTGATAACAAATAAACAACCTCATCTTTAACCTCTGCCATATCAAAGGAATCAGATCCTTGCACTTTCACCCTGCCCGCGCCCGGCCCCCGCCCGGCCCCCGCCCGGCCAGCTCGCTGATCGAGGCCAGGGCCTCTGCCAAAAAGGGGGCGGCGCGAAGGAGAGAGGAGAGACAGAGACGGAAGAAGAGGGCGGAGGAGGGCGGAGGGGGTTCCTCTTTCCTTTCAGAAAATGCCTGGAGCTCCGGAAGCAGAAGGCGAGCGCGAGACGCCTCCTGGAACAGGGACACGCTGGGCTGGGAGCAGCGGGCGGCTCTTAGGATCGTGCCCTTCCGACTCCTGGTGGGCTTCCATGCTGCAGTCACCGCACCTGACACCCACAAGCCAAAAAAGACCTGTGACGCATGGCTGCCCGAGCTTCTGCCGAGAAGCGTCATCCCGTTGCCCATTGGAAGCCATGTGCCACTAGTTCCCCATTCCCACACACTTTTGACGAGTAAGCGCAACCTTTGATCGAACAGGTCTGGAATGCAAGCAAATGTTGTGAGCAGAGCCTGCCGTAATTTGGGACCCTACACACAAGGAGTACATGCCTCAGTCCTGAGAAGCTGTGCCCGTGACATGTGGAATCGGCCCAAATCTTTGCTTGAGCTGCTCGGCTGCGGAAAGCATGCTCGGGGTTCGTGAGCACAGCATAGCACAGCAAGCTTGGGCCGGCTGCTGAAAGATCTTTGCCTTGTCTGCCTTGTCGAGGGTGTACTGGAGCTGCGCGTGTTGAATCAGAGGCCGCAGCGGGACGAAGCGATTCAGCCGCTCAGCCCCTGGCCCCATCAAGTCGATGATGCGCTCGATCGATCAGCTGTGCCGCCTGCCGTCTCTTTTCATCGACAACGGCCAATGCCCCAAACCCGCAAAGGGCCTCCTTGAGGTAGAAGATGCTCTGCTTTGAGAACTCCCCGACCAGCCCCACCTCGCGCTGACTCGCGCTGCGGAGCTCAGCGCGGAGCCGAGCCCGTGGTCGCTCCGTTCGCGCCTGCTCCGCGAAAGCGCGGGCGGCCGGGCGCTGCAGCTCCTCTGAAGGCACGAGGCCACGAGGCGGGTTTTTCACATTTCTGCCGGCTACTCGCTCCGATTTCGGCCGCGAGGTGTGGTCTGGCGGCTTCGCCTGATGACGCGAGCGGGGCCACATCGGGCATCGGGCGGCGGAAGGTGCCCAATGCTGAGGCCCATGCACAGAAGTACCTCAGCTCACTCTTCAATCTCTAGCACACTCCCCACTTCTTCTTTGCATTTAAGCTACGCATCATTGATGATCTTCTTGCACTTTGCCTGGCCCGTCGTGGCTGTACACGTTGATATGACGCTGCACTTCTCAAGAATCGCATGCCGATGGTACCGGTTCTTGTGGTTGCAGACTCTGAAGGAAGTCTGGATCCACTCCAAAAAATGCGGCCAAGACCTGAGATCTGTCAAAGTGGCATTGAAAGTCAAGCTACATCAGCACCCCACCATCGGGTTCCGTGCACGGTGTTTGCCACCCTTGCTGCGTGTGCCTGTCAGTATCCAAGCGTGTCGCCGAAACGAAGCTTCAACACGGATCACGCGCCTTGGAGTGGGAATGGCCAGGAGATTGCCTCACCAATGATCAGTTTTGAACACCAGACTCTACCAGTACTTTCCGGTTCCGGTTCACTTCCACTCCGTGCTGGGTGGTTGGCTGCATTGTGCATACTGCATGGTGCAGTGTGCTGCGTCGTATTGGGTCGCCTTGGATGGCTCGCATGGAGGATTTTGTAACACACAGTTCAGATAAGGCACGCCCAGAAGTCGTCACCTGCAATGACGAGACAAGGTCACCATTGCTCGTGCGCCGGTGACATTTCACACGGGACAGGCTGAGGGCACTGCCTGAAAGCAGAGGGCTAGACCAGGCATGGGGCATGGCCGGCGCTCCAAAGTGACATCAGTGCGATGTGTGCTTCTCGCCGTGATCTCGGTGGCTCATGGTTTCGAACCAGACTGTTGGAATACTGGGATTAATGTCAAAAACGACAGATGTGAACTGTCGTGCTGCTGACATGGCACTAACTCCAGGACATACACAACAACCGACAAAAATGCACAATAACAATGCAATTACACAATGATGGGCCGGAAGTTGCTGCTGCAACTGCATGGAAACGATGCTATTTCAGAATCACATTGAAACCAGTATACAATATCAGGACTTGATTCCCACACCTTTAACATGTCTGAAAGAACACCCTGTTGCAGCTCGGCCATGCTCCAGGCACCTTGGGCGAACTGACTCCGCAAAAAGTCGCAGACTCTAATCCACCCTCATTCGCAAAGATCCTCCACTTCCAGCAACGCGCGTCCGTTTGCGTTTTGTCGCTTTACACGCACTTTTAGGTATTACACAACGATTCCAATCAAAAGGTTCATAAGTCCCCAATCCTTCCTTTAGTGGGTTTCACCACGGGACTCTTTTCTGTCGAGTGCAAAAGGGCTCCCCACAGGTTCGTGAAAACGCAACGCAGCAGCAGAGGTACACTACAACAGTAACAGCAGTCATACAGGACACATTACTTTCAAACATTTTTTTATTCATCAAAGGAACCGCT